GAAAGCCCATTTGTGTACTTGCAAATGAGACCGCAGACGACGCCTTCGTTCATCTTTACGGTCAAAGACTTAAGCAAGAATCCAGGCTTGACGAAATCCAAGCTGCTAAACAAGGAACCTGGCGCAGGAACGGTCTCCTGGTTTCCGATGAGTGGAGTTAGGCGAATGCTCTCCTCGATGCCATCTCCGCGCGCGGCAAGGAATGTCTCTAGACCCTTGACTTCGTCTTTGAAGAGTTGCAGCTGGTAGTCAAGCGTCTCGCCTTTTGTCGGCTGCTTGATGAAACACAGCTTAGAGCATTCTGACAAATCTCCGTAAGAACCGTTCACATCCTGAGACGTCTTCTTACTGTCGCTTTGCTGCTTCTCGGCTTCTTGCGAGCTGACATACATTCTCTCTCCAGTCAGAGGTGAGGTGCGTTTGGTGGAGCGCTGAGCGGGCTCCAGAGCAGGCAAAAGGGTTTCAAAGGCGAAAGGCGATAAGAACTCCTCTGCGGGTTGCGACAGCACATGATCGGGTCTCTTTGTGACATCTTCAACGCGATTGATGACGAAGTTCATTTGAAGACGGACGGCTTGACGAGCGGCGTCCAGCCCATCAAGAGTAGGGGGAAAGAGGCCGATGCGCTGCTTCTTGTGAAGCGGTGACAGAACACTCCAATTTCCTGTGCCATCAAGAATGAGCTTAGCACCTTCAGTGCCATTTTCAGCCTCCTCGCGCAGCTTCTTGATCCCATCATCCAAGTCTTTCTGCTGTCCAGCGAGCTCTGCCTTCCTGAATTTCGAGGTGTTGTTTTGGACCTCGGCAATCTGTACGGATAATCGACTGTAGATGGCTTTGTAGCTCATGAAAACGTCCAGCAGCTCGTTTGTGTACAGCGCCGCATTTTCGTAGGCTACCGGGTGGAGTTTGGGCGGCTTTAGAGCTTGGAAGCTTCGCAATGACTCGTACTTAGTGAGGATGGCGTAGGTCCGTTGAGGCGTCTCAGCTACGTGATCTGGGAAGCGCGCCGCAGCACGAGTAAGAGACTCGACCGTCCACGGCTCGTTGGGAGGCTTAATGACACCTCCACCAAGCCAGTTGACCTGAATGGTGGTCTCGGTGTTGAGCTCGAGGTTGGCTTTAGCACTTTTGTAAGCTACTTGGCCGGATACGTCGAAGCTGGAAGTTCCAACAGTGATGGCACCTTCAACGCTGATATCCCTCGCTTTGCTGGTGTTCAAAACCTTCATAGTGATCAAAGCGGTCAGCTCACCGCCCTCCAGAAATCCACTGATGAATGAGTCGCCTAATGGAGGGTCGCCTTGGCATTAGCTGGGTCCGCTGGGCGAAGTGACAACCAAGTCTCTGTCGGAATGAGGTAGCAGGCGCTAAGACTCACCGAACACCTTCCGGAAATTGCTCTCATCGATGCCATCGCCGCAGGGATTGTACTCGAGGCAATCGCGGAAATTGATGGACTGATTGACTACCTTGACGCTGATGTAAAAGTTGAGGTCAGACGATTTGAATTTGTCCGTGTCGATGAAGGATCCCTTCCCGGAGCCGCCGATGGAGCCTTTCTGGATTGAAAGTGCGGCGCTGATACCGAGATCGTTGGTGATCTCGCTGAGCTTGTCGATGAATTCAGCTCGATAGATGACGGTCTGGCTCACGCCTCTGGAGCTCTTGATGTCGAAGATCATAGTCTTTCTGCCCTTGTTCAAAAGCGCCGTGTTCATCTTCTCTCGTGACTTCTCAGCTTCCAGGATGAGCTTCTTGTGAGCATCAATCATTGCTTTGAGGTCAAGCGTGTTCTTGAATTTGTCGGCTGCATCGGCCATGGCAGGGTCGCGCTCCTTGCGCCTGATTGCTTTATCTTGGTCCGCAGCAATTTGTTTCTTGAAAGCAGCTTGCTGCGCCGCTTCGCGTTTCGCTTTGGCTACTGGGTCTTCTGCTGGTGGCGCTGCGTCCTTCTTTGCGGCTGCTGCGGCGCTTGTCTTGTCTCCAGTTGTGGCTGCTGTAGTAGTACCGACGCCGGCAGCAAGAGTTTGAGGGCCAGTCGCAGCACCGTTGATGAATAGGAATTTCGGTCAGTGGTTACGCTGTTTCTGCGCCAGTACGGCTTGCCATTCTCACCGCCTGATGAAAGCTCGCCAACCTCGGCCGCTTTCGTTCCGACCTTCTTTGAGGTAGTGTCTGACTTGACATCCTCGCCTTCCGCGCCTAGCCCGGTGGGCGCAGCTAGATGGATGCAGACGCGTCAGTGGTGAAGTTACACTTAAAATGTGGACGATGGTGGGTGTGGATAGCGTAGATCTGCTCACCTTCTGCTGCCGTCTCTTCAGCAGTGCTTTCTAAAGTAGCACCAGCTGCATGGGATGGCTCAATCAAGGCTGTGCCTTCTGCGGTGGATGGCGCTGCATCGCCGGCTTCTGACTTGTGAATTGCGTCAAAGGATTCGCTTCCAAGATCGTCAGGGCTACCGCCAGGGGCAGCATCGGCAAGTGGCTCTGCCGCGGAATCTGTTGCGTCCCCTGCTGGTGTAGCCTGAACTTCATCAGAGGTGGTGTTTTCCGCGTCAGGAGGAGGGGCATCAATCTTTGCTGCAGTTTGCGCAGCTTCGCAAGCTGCAAGGGGCTCATCCGACGCAGACTCTGTGGTAGCCGTCGCAGTCAGCTCTGGCTCAACTGGTGCAGCTGGAACGCCGTCCAGGTCGGCCAGAACTTGTGCTGCCTCTTCGTTCGACTTGCTCTCAGTCGGCTTCGCAGCTTCAACAGCTTCCACATGCGGACTTCTCTCCTTGTCAAGGCGTTCTTGCTGAGCTGAGGCGAGACGACTGACATCTAGCAGAATCTGATCCTGTTTCGTCCAAGCGCTGGATCTGCCGAGGACCATCGCCGCAAGACGCATCGTCGTGCCATCGTTAGTCAGGACATTCTCGGACTGGAGTGGACTGGTGGTCACGGCATCATCGATGCAAATCTCGTGCGTATACGAATTGAACCTGAGAGAGATGCATGGGACAATGGCCGGATCAGAGACAAGCACGCAGCTAGAAAGTTACGTCCTTACACACCCTTGTCCAAGTCGCATAGCATTGTTGCTGAGCGTAAAACGCGGAGGAACTTAGTGCGCGGCAGTCATCCACGATGGAACCAACATCATCACTCACTAGGGTGCTAGCAGGAGACCCATCGTTGCTGAAGAGACCGATGCTGGGCAAGGTCTGC